TGCATCACCTTACACTTGTCCGTGTTAAACCCCATCCTGTTCTCCTCCGCCCATCCTTGTAACCTATCTAGGTCTAACTGTAGCCTGTTGCTCCCCTCAATTGTGCCCACTTCCCCCCACATCTTAGTGTCATCAGCAAACTTGAACAGGGTGCTTTGCACCCCCTCGTCCAAATCACTGATGAAGATATTGAACAGTGCAGGCCCAAGGACCGAGCCCTGTGGGACCCCACTTCCCACGTCCTTCCAGGTCGAGAAGGACCCATCCACTACCACTCTCTGGGTGCGACTCTCTAACCAGTTGGCGACCCATTGGACTGTGTGGGTGTCTACGCCACAGTCCCCCAGCTTCCTAATGAGAATGGGGTGAGAGACAGTATCAAAAGCCTTCCTGAAGTCTAGGAAAACTATATCCAGTGCCACCCCTGCATCCAATGATTTAGTGTGTTAGAAGTTAGCGTGGCAGGGAGTGGGAAAAGGACTGAAAGTTGAAAAGCGGGTCAACAATATCATATTAATGGAAGAGAGGGGTAGAGATCAAATGAGAACTCATCAAAGCTGAGAATTTGCAAGACATGGAAAGACTGATAGGGTATATGGGAGAGCTGATGGTCAATTCCAAAAAAGACCAGACAGTGGTCACAGAATGAGAACTCCGCAAGGAAGAGAAAAAAAAGGAGAGAGAATATACTCAGTGAAAATTAAACTCAATCAATTACCCTTTTGGTGAGCAGGAGAATTGAATGAAGGCTGCAAATCAACTGAAGAGATAAGGTCAAGGAAATATTCTACCAAGAGGTGAAATAATTCATCTTCATGGACACTGAAATACCCAGGGTAAGAGTGGGATTGTGAAGAAAAAAGAAGAGAAACAAAATCAGAAAGGACAGCTTAACTGGGAGGAATTGCTTTTTTATTGGTGCTGATACAATATGGACCAATGTATTGGTTCACCTCTATCTGCCGCCCTTTTTCTGTGCCAGGGAATAACTGGGGCATATAGATGTCTAACTGCATGCTCTTCTTTACAACTGTATGTTCTTCTTTACAAGTGAAATTGTGGATGCAAAAGTCCAAGTGAAATCTTCTTCAATTTCAAATGGCCTGTGAATGTGTAGTCCTTATTTACTTTCAGAAGTGTCTATAATAAAATGGTTTAACTGATGGAAACGTTTTCGTCTTCAGGTTGTCATCTGAAGATAGCGAGGAAGCTTCCACTTGTTTATATGATAGCGATGATTCTGATGAAACAGAAGGAACCTCTCATCACCCAGGAGAAATGGACTTGCTCGGAGAGATTCTGGACACTCTGAGCACACACAGTTCAGATCGAGGAAAGCTCTCAGGAGCAAAGAGCCTGGATTTCTTTAGATCAATGGATGATATTGATTACAAGACTACGGTTAGTCTTCCAGCTTTATGCAAAGAACAACTTGGTTATATTTAGAGTACTGCATTGTGAAAGATACATTTACAACCAATATCTAGCAGAGTAGTTTATGTGATTGCAGATGTGCCTTACTGCTGCCCACGCTCCTAGCAAGCTTATGCTAGTAGCTGTGGTGTGGATTTCCACCATCTGAGGACTTAACGCTATACCTGGCTTTTGAACAAATGGTTTGTCATTATAAGGGATGCACGTTTTTCATTTGCTGTGGAAAAACACGAATGTTCTCCCTTAAAGGAGAAAATCATGGGAAACCATGTGTTTCCCCTTGCAGGCTTGCAGTTTCAGCCTGTAAGGGGCTGCTTGGGGCTGTGGGGAACAGGACACAGGGGCTGCCATGTGTATGTGCGTGTGCAGCCAGGCAGTGTGGTGGAGAGTAGCTGCTACAGCTCCTTCCAGGTAAGTCTGTGGGGGCAGTGGGGTCAAGGGGCATAGGCAATGCATCAGGGGGGTGGGGAATCACAGCTGACAGCATAGGTGATGCATCAAGGTGTGGAGAAGTACCAGGTGATGCGTCAGGGTGTGAAGGAGAGACATTCCCCCCTAGATTTCTGCACCCCCAGCAGAGCATGGGGCTGCAGCTGGACTGGACCAGCTCCAGGCAGGAGCTACCTCGGTGGCCCAGCAGGTGGGACCCAGTGCAGGAGGGAGCACCACACCGCCATGGCAACCAAGGTGAGGCTCCCCCTGCCCATCCAGTAGCAGCAGGGGGCATGCCACCACCAGTGCCCTGCTGCTGCACCTTACCTTGGTCGCCATGGCAGCGCAGTGCTCTGTCCTGCAGTGGGTCCTGTCTGTTGGCCCATGGAGGTGGCTCCTGCTCAGAGCTGATCTGGCCATGCTGCAGTCCTGTGCACCACTGTGGGCACAGAAATCTGTTCAACTAATATGTGTGTGTGTGTGTGTAGTGGTGTTTCATTTTAATCATGGAAAAAGGGTGTGTGTGTGTGTGTGTGCGCGCGCACATGCATGCATGTGTGCACCCCAGGGCACCCCAAGTGTCAAGAGTTTGGGAAATATATATACATGTACACATCTCTTTAGATATCTAGGAATACAAACACGCACACACACACACTCTCATAATACCTTTTGGCCCTGTAGGTTGGATCCAATCCATAGCACTGGTCCTACTGCCTGGGCAGGCACAGCCAGGGCCCAATCCCATCATTCAGGGTAGGCATGGCCAGGGCCCAGTCCCGCTACACCAGAGGTGAGCAATTATTTCAGCTGGAGGGCCACTTAATGAGTTTTGGTGAGGTTTTGAGGGCTACAGGGATTGCCTGGCTTCCTAGTTACCATTATGGAACTAGAAGTCCCGCCCCTAACCCCTGACCTTTGCCATTGGAAGTACTTCCTCTTGTCCCAGAAGTACTTCTTGGAACAGGGGAATGGCCATCTTAAACTGGAAAAAAAAAAAACGATCTAAACTAACAAAAAAAATCTAACATCTATTATAAATTATTTTAATTTAATTTTTAAAAATATTTTTTCCTGATTTTATTTGTGTTTGTATAGAGTATCGAGTGATAATTGCATAATAGCTCAAAATACAGTCTCACTCTTGTATATTGCATAGGGGATAAGAAGGTGTGTGGGGAGGTGTAGTTGGGGAATGGATGTGTATGGCGTGTGTGGTGGAGGGGTGTGGGTGTAAAGTATGTTGTTGGGTGGGAGTGTTTGGGAGGGTATGGTTGGGTGTGGGTGGGAGTGTGTATGGGGGTTGTGGGAGAGTGTGGGTGTGTTTGGGGTTATGGTGGGGGGTGGGATGGTATAGTGTGTGTGGGAGGGTGTTTGGGGGGGGAGTCCCTGGAGTGTGTGAGTCCCTGGATCTGCATGTGGTGGCAGCAAATGGGGCCAGCCTTGCCCAGCCCCATAGCGTACAGCTCCCATACTTCCACCCTAGTTCCTGGCCACATATGATGGCAGCGAGCGGGGCCAGCCCCACCCAGCCCTATAAGACGCAGCTCCTGCAGCATGTGGGGCCAGCCTAGCCTGGTCCCATAGCATGTGGCTCCCCATGCTCCCAGCCCCCTTTCCACCTAATGGAAATACCGGGTCCCAGCCCAGTGGGGCCCTTATCTGAAATCCCATTCATGCAGGGAGGGAGGGCAGGAAACAGCCACAGGGTGACCAGGCAAAAGCCTCTGCCAGGCAGAGGCTTCTTATCTCTAATGCCCCCTGGCTTTGAGTGGGGGGGGGTTGCTTAGCAAACAGAGCCTCATTTTAATTAAGTCAGGGGATCAATGTAGTCATTGCTATAGAAACCATTTGAGTTTTAGAGTAGTTATCTAAGGCTTCCATCTTGCAAATGTGACTGCTTCACCAACACCTCTACTTTAAGGCAGAGTCCCATTGGAACCTGGCACAGGTGGGTTGCCTCGCTTACATCTTTAAAATCTTCTCTACATCAGCACCTTTGTATTGGTGGTTGTTTTCAGAAGGCTCTTGTACCCATTGCAGTCCAGCTCAGGTGTCAGTTGCTCTAGATTTACAACTAGCATAAATCCTGTACTAAATATCCTTTGCAGAAGCAGTAAATTCTCATGGTGATTTGTAATCCATTGGTACTATAAGCACAAGATTGTATTAATAAAATGTCTGTTTTATTATTTGACTAAAAGATTAACAATGAAAACCAATATAATTAATTATTGAAAAGTAGAATGAAAATGCCAGTAAGTTTTGGTCTCAGTCCAGTTCCTTCTTGTATTGTAGTAGGATAGCCCATCATACATTGCAAAATCACCACTGCACCTGGCAAAACCTTTACATTTGTTCCTAGTACAACGTGTCAAAGACTGAATGAACAAGGGAGATAAGAACTCTCTTGTCCTTCCCAGAGGTTATTTTCACTTGATGGGGATGGGGTACCTCAGTGAGGACGTGTCATAGAGTTTGCATTGTGGTTGTCCCTGCCAAAGGTGTTGGTGTTGTACATGTACAAAACTGAATGTAAATTTTGTCTTTCAAAGATGCCCATGCATAGATGCTTCTTTTGACATAAACTGTATTAATCTGTGCTCTTCATTTCAGAACAAATCCAACGCACCTAGTGAAAGCAACCTCATGCTGCTCTGTGGTAGTACTAATGATCAAGCACATTGGAACCTTGGTCAGGATGACAGTGTCCTCCACTGGAAACAGCTCCCTCCATCACCACGGAAGCGAGTTCCTTCCAGTTGCCCTACAGTATCTCTCTCAATGCCAGAAGAAGAAAATAGTGACAAAACCCTTAGTGCTGACAGCATGGCCTTTGCTTCTCTGGAATATTCCCAAGTAGATGACTCTTCCTACAAGAAGACCAAACAAAATGAAACACTAAGCAATACCTCAAAGGCTCAACGCCCAGTGAGCATGGGTCAACAGCCATCCATTCTGGTCCCTTGGGAAAAAGAAGAAAATGAAGGAAATGAAACCTCAGAAGAGGGCGGACTACTTCATGAAGTTGTATCACTGTGTCAGATGACTTCTGCTTTTCACCATAGTTTAAACATTTCAGATGATAATATATGCAGAAATAGCAGTGGAAATAAAGCATAAGAAAACTGCAAGAGGAGAAGCCTGATTCCTATCAGAGGCTAAAATGAGGCTGCTCAGGACTCCATGTAATACAAGATAACCAAAAGATCAAACAGGAACAACAGCTCTTCCATTTAGGAAAAAAATCTGATTATTACATGCATTTTCTCCCCTTGAGACATCTCCTTCTTTGTTTGCCAGGGTTTTTTTTGGCAGCATTGAAGTTCACACGATGGAATTAAAATGTATTAATGCACTCTTAAATCAGGTTCTAGTTAGTCTGTATGTTGAAAATACACCTGGTGTATGTATGGTGCTTACCAGTGTCTAGTTCCTTTATGCAGCTGGAAGTGTATCACCACAGCAGACGTCCAGATTCTGAAGGTACTGTATTAATCCTGTTGGCATGATGAAATGACAAAAAAAAAAAAAGAAGAAACCGTTTAGATTTGTTTGAAACTCACAAATGTTGTTTGTAATGAACTAATTGCCTTAATCTTTTAGGTAAAGGTTTAAATATAAGGTGAATTACACAGCAATAACAGTTTTCCATATCAGGTGTTTGCTTCAACAAAGGGGAAAAGGACCTTTTCTAACCTAAAGCATCTCTTGTGAATAACTTGGAACTTACTATTAAGTTAAACTGTAGGTCATGTCTTCCAGACTTTGAAAAGGTAGTGCATACTCATCTCTTACATAAAGTATGAAAAGTGCTGAATTATAATGTGAAGTTAATTAACTTCTGTTTACAATTAAGATACCAGATGCAGACATTTTCCATTAGGAATTTTCAGAAAGGAAAGTATAAGTGGATTTGATAGCTTATATTACTTTATGAATTTCTGTAATATATATATATATATATATATATAT